ACAAACAAAGTGTCACTAGTATGCCTCTACTTGACTAGCTCGTTAATCAAAGACGGTTATGTTTCCTAACCATGAACAATGAGTTGTTATTTGATTAACGGGATCACATCATTAAGAGAATGATCTGATTGACATGACCCATTCCATTAGCTTAGCACCCGATCGTTTAGTATGTTGCTATTGCTTTCTTCATGACTTATACATGTTCCTATAATTATGAGATTATGAAACTCCCGTTTATCGGAGGAACACTTTGGGTACTACCAAACGTCACAACGTAACTGGGTGATTATAAAGGAGTACTACAGGTGTCTCCAAAGGTACATGTTGGGTTGGCGTATTTCGAAATTAGGTTTTGTCACTCCGATTGTCGGAGAGGTATCTCTGGGCCCTCTCGGTAATGCACATCACATAAGCCTTGCAAGCATTGCAACTAATGAGTTAGTTGCGGGATGATATATTACAGAACGAGTAAAGATACTTGCCGGTAACGAGATTGAACTAGGTATTGGATACCGACGATCGAATCTCGGGCAAGTAACATACCGATGACAAAGGGAACAACGTATGTTGTTATGCGGTCTGACCGATAAAGATCTTTGTAGAATATGTAGGAGCCAATATGGGCATCTAGGTCCCGCTATTGGTTATTGACCGGAGACATGTCTCGGTCATGTCTACATTGTTCTCGAACCCGTAGGGTCCGCACGCTTAAGGTTACGATGATAGTTATATTATGAGTTTATGCATTTTGATGTACCGAAGGTTGTTCGAAGTCCCGGATGTGATCACGGATATGACGAGGAGTCTTGAAATGGTCGAGATGTAAAGATTGATATATTGGAAGCCTATGTTTGGATATCGGAAGTGTTCCGGGTGAAATCGGGATTTTACCGGAGTACCGGGAAGGTTACCGGAACCCCCCGGGAGCTAAATGGGCCATGATGGGCCTTAGTGGAAAAGAGAAGAGGCAGCCCTACATGGGCTGCACGCCTTCCCCTTCCCCTAGTCCTATTAGGACTAGGAGAGGTGGCCGGCCCCCTCTCTCTCTCTTTTCCCCCTCCGCGAATCCTATTCCAACTAGGATTGGGGGGGGGGGGAATCCTACTCCTAGAGGGAGTAGGACTCTCCTGGCGCGCCACACCTTGGCTGGCCAGCCTCCCCCCTCTAGTCCTTTATATACTGAGGCAGAGGCACCCTAGAACACACAAGTTGATCCACGTGATCTATTCCTTAGCCGTGTGCGGCGCCCCCAGCCACCATAGTCCTCGATAATACTGTAGCGGAGTTTAGGCGAAGCCCTGCTGCTGTAGTACATCAAGATCGTCACCACGCCGTCGTGCTGACGGAACTCTTCCCCGACACTTTGCTGGATCGGAGTCCGGGGATCGTCATCGAGCTGAACGTGTGCTCGAACTCGGAGGTGCCGTAGTTTCGGTGCTTGATCGGTTGGATCATGAAGACGTACGACTACTTCCTCTACGTTGTGTCAACGCTTCCGCAGTCGGTCTGCGTGGGTACGTAGACAGCACTCTCCCCTCTCGTTGCTATGCATCACATGATCTTGCGTGTGCGTAGGAATTTTTTTGAAATTACTACGAAGCCCAACAGTTTTTCGTTGCGGAGCTCATTGTTACTCTTGATGTTGAAGAGAAGGCGAGAGCAAAGGACAGACATGCTCGAGTTGCTGAGGGAGGTTCTAGTGCCCACATGGTATAAAAGAAGAACTCCCAGCCCAACAAGTTCAAAAACAATAAGAACAAAACTCAGGGCAAAGGCAAGTTTGATACAAAGAACAAGCCATCACATTCTACCAACTTCAAGAAGAATTCTCATAAGAAGGGGAAGGGACTTTGCCATGTCTGCGGTGATCCTAATCACTTGGCTCCGAAGTGTCCTAACCGCTTTGAGGAGCGCGAACATGAGAAGAGCGGCAAGTCCGCTAATGTTGTCATCGGTGATACTGATATGAAGGAATCAGTGTATGGTATTTTTCCTACCATCCTTTCAGTATTTCAATCCCCTGATTGGTTAATTGACACCGGTGCCAATGTACATGTTTGTGCTGACGCCTCCATGTTTTCTTCTTACCAGGCAACAGGGACTTCACCCGTGCTGATGGGGAACGGGTCACATACCATCGTTCGAGGTGTTGGTACGGTCGATCTGAAGTTTACTTCGGGGAAGACTGTGCGTCTGAAGAACGTTCATCATGTGCCGTCCATCAATAAAAATCTCGTTAGCGGTTCCCGTTTATGTCGAGATGGTTTTAAGTTGGTTTTCGAATCCAATAAAGTTGTAATTTCTAAGTGTGGAAAATTTGTTGGAAAAGGCTATGAGTGCGGAGGCTTGTTCCGCCTATCTTTGTCAGATATTTGCACTAAAGTTATTAATAATGTTTGCCACAATAATGAGTCTGATATTTGGCATTGTCATATTAACTTTGGTTGCATGACGCGGTTAGCCAATATGAATTTAATTCCGAAAATCTCTACTGTCAAAGGCTCCAAGTGCCAAGTATGTGTGCAAGCTAAGCAACCTCGCAAGTCCCATAAGACTGCAGAGGCAAGAGACTTGGCGCCACTTGAGCTTATACATTCTGATCTTTGTGAGATGAATGGCGTGTTGACAAAAGGTGGAAAGAGATACTTCATGACGTTGATTGATGACTCCACTAGATATTGTTATGTGTATCTTCTGAAATCAAAAGATGAGGCTCTGACTTCCTTTAAAAACTATAAAGCTGAGGCAGAGAACCAACTTGATCGAAAAATTAAACGGCTTAGGTCCGATCGTGGTGGAGAGTATTTTTCCAATGAATTTGATCTGTTTTGTGCAGAACATAGTATAATCCATGAGAGGACGCCTCCCTACTCACCCAAGTCAAATGGGGTAGCCGAAAGAAAGAACCGAACTCTAACTGATATGGTTAACACCATGTTAGACACTTCGGGTCTATCCAAGGAATGGTGGGGGGAGGCGCTAATGACTGCGTGTCATGTCCTAAACCGAGTTCCCACAAAGCATAAGACCATGACTCCATTTGAGGAATGGGAAAGGAAAAGGTTGAAACTCTCTTACCTACGTCTTGGGGTTGTTTGGCGAAAGTCAATATACCAATTCCCAAGAAGCGCAAGCTTGGACCAAAAACCGTGGATTGTGTTCTTCTGGGCTATGCTTTTCATAGCATCAGCTATAGATTTTTGATAATAAAATCTGAGGTATCCGACATGCATGTTGGTACGATTATGGAATCAAATGATGCAACTTTCATTGAGGACATATTTCCTATGAAGGATATGTCGAGTTCATCAAATCAGGAGATACCTACTCCATCTAGTGAGGAATTCACTGTAATTCCTGAACCCACCATTGCGATGGAACACGTTGAGTATCCTGTTGAGGGTAACAATGGAACTCCTATGAGGAGTAAGAGACAGAGGACTGCAAAGTCTTTTGGTGATGATTTCATTGTGTACCTCATGGATGACACACCCAGGACTATTTCAGAAGCCTATGCATCTCCTGATGCTGACTACTGGAAGGAAACTGTACGTAGCGAGATGGATTCCATCTTAGCTAACGGTACCTGGGAGATCACTGACCGTCCTTATGGGTGCAAACCTGTAGGATGTAAGTGGGTGTTCAATAAGAAGCTTAGACCTGATGGTACAATTGAAAAGTACAAGGCACGGCTTGTGGCCAAGGGTTATACCCAGAAAGAAGGTGAAGACTTCTTTGATACTTACTCACCCATGGCTAGACTGACCATAATTCGGGTGCTACTATCACTGGCTGCCTCACATGGTCTTTGGGGAGCGCACTCGCGCGACTGCTGGCAGCGACGACTTCACGAACGACGACTTCTTCCCCGACCTCGGCAATCTCGTCCTCGACGACATGGGCGACAACGTCAACGCCAGCGGTGCTGCGCCCGCTGCACCGTATGTGATTCTATCCTTCATGTTCGAGATCGTGGTAGAATTCATGCTTCTAGTATGTGCCCTAGATGTGATATGTTCATCTGCTATGCTAGTTCGCATGATTAGTTTAATCTCTGCTGCTGTGATCATGATTTATCTTCTGTTTATTCGGATTAAATCTCGTAGTAATTTGCTCATATTTCCAACACAAACAACAACCATGTAGGACTCTGACACGTCGGCCCACCCAAAACCCCTTCGGGACCTGGTGTCTCTGTTCTTTCCTCTTTCTCTACATTTGTTTTCTATCTTGCCGACACCGCCGCACCACCTTTCAGGCCGCTCAGGCCGCCTGCCAAACCCTTCCCAGAGCTCCGCGACCTCCACCACTACACCCAAGCTCCCACACCGCTTTCAGCTCCATTGTCGGTCCACACCTCTCCTCCTCTTCCTCCGCACAGGTACCATCCGCCTCTATGGTACTCATCACGCCCGACAAGTGTTTGGTGAAATCCCCGTGCTAATTTTTATCCCTTTTTCTTTGAAGAAATGGATTTGGATATGCAGTACATATACAAGCACTACATTGATTCACCCGACAAGGATTTGATATGCGGTTATTTAGTGTTTGCGAGCTTTAAAAAAAGAGGCGGATGCTTACAGCTACGACTGGATGACCAGCGCCAGCATCGGTTTTTGAGGATTGGTCCCCATCGATCTGCGGACATATGTGATTTGAATATGCCCTTAACATCACCTTGCATCTACAATTGAAGAAAATCAAGAGAGATCGCAACTTCCTGGAAATTTTTGGCTACTCTTGATGGCGAAGGCGCGACGCGGAATCGTTCCTATTTTACTGGTTTGAGATGGGAAGATGAGAAGTTTCTCTTCTTAATTCAAAAATAGAATACAGTTACAGTGCTCCTGTCCTGATCTTGACAAGTTTCGTCGAAAAAAGAAGTTATTTCAATCTCTATCAGTACATGCAGAGTATACCATACTACTCGTATTTAACAGCTAATAACTTGAGTACATGCATGTATCCATTGCATTCTCCAAGAGGCGTCCGGCAGCATGAGGGCGACCAGTCTACTGCGGTTGCTCTTGATCTGCTTCTACCTCCTTTCGATCCACACCTTCGCCGCCGCCGGTGTTGGTGACAAGCTCGAGAAGGGCCAGAACCTCACCGACGGCGACACGCTCGTCTCAGCAGGGGGCTCCTTCACCCTCGGGTTCTTCTCTCCCGGGGCGTCCACCAAGAGGTACCTCGGCATATGGTTCTCCGTGTCCAACGGCACGGCCGTCTGCTGGGTTGCCAACCGCGACCAACCTCTGGTCGACAAGTCCGGCATGCTGGTGCTCAACGACCTCGGCAGCCTCGTTCTGTTAGATGGCTCCCGCCGGACGGTCTGGTCTTCAGACTTCTCCGGCGGCGCTTCTGCGGTGGTGGCGCAGCTTCTCGTGTCCGGCAACCTGGTCGTACACAATGGCAGCAGCGACGCCTCCCTGTGGCAGTCGTTCGACCATCCGTCGGACACCTTGCTACCTGACATGAAGCTGGGCAAGAACCGCTGGACCGGAGCCGAGTGGCAGCTCACGTCGTGGCGCTCGGCCGACGACCCGGCTCCGGGGGACTACCGCCGCACGCTGGAAACCGAGGGGTTACCGGAGCTCGTCGTGTGGCGAGGCAACGTCAAGACGTACCGCACGGGCCCGTGGAACGGGCTCTACTTCAACGGCGTCCCGGAGGTGTCGGCGTACGCGGGCAAGTACCCTCTGCGGGCGACGACGAGCCCGTGGGAGACCACCTACGGGTACACCGCCGCGCCCGGCGCGCCGCTGACCCGCGTCGTGGTGAACCACACCGGCAAGGCGGAGCGGTGGGAGTGGGACGCGAGCAGCTGGGCGTGGACTCGCATATTCCAGGGGCCGAGGGACCCGTGCGACGAGTATGGGAGATGCGGGCCGTTCGGCCTCTGCGACCCCGAGGCGGCATCGTCGGGGTTCTACGGCTGCGTCGAGGGCTTCAGCTTCAGCAGCCCTCCCGCCACGACCCCGCCGGCGCAGGAGGTGAAGGGTACCACCTGCAGAAGACACGCAGCGCTGGACTGTGCCGGCGGCACTACGACGGACGGCTTCGCGGTGGTGCGGGGGGTGAAGCTTCCTGACACGCAGAACGCGTCGGTGGACATGGGCGTCACGCTGGAGGAGTGCAGGGCGAGGTGCTTCGCCAACTGCTCGTGCTTGGCCTATGCCGCCGCCGACATCAGAGGAGGCGGCGATGGTTCCGGCTGCGTCATGTGGACGGATGCCATCGTTGATCTTCGTCTCGTTGACATGGGGCAGAATCTCTACCTGAGGTTGTCAAAATCAGAACTTGGTATGTACAGAATCTCTACACTCGCCGTGCATTTTTTTCATTGTCTTTGACAAAAAGTTAACTGACTAGATTTAGGCTCTGTTTGATAGCAAAGTACTAAAAAAACCAAAGTATCAAAAACGACAGTAATTTAGCATGCATGTACAAAATAGCATGGTTTTAATATAACAAAGTTTTTAAATTATTCACAATGCAGAGGACCTGTTTAGTTACACCTCGTAATGCTGTGAAATTTACTAGCTAACTGTTGATCGTGCATCCATTAGTAGCTAGTAGCTAGCAATTGCTTTTAGCGGTGATTAGTAGTACTCGTTAAGAGAGATGAGATCGCCTCTCCGGACCTTGGCTGATCTCTAAAGGATAGCTATGGATTGCTTCGGATCCTTTCTATGATCCACGTATCTAGCCTAGCTATCTCATTCGCATTAGGGAACACGCAGGACAGGGGATCGAGCGGCGGCTTGATAGCCAGATGAGTTTGTTGAGAATATCTAGCGATCGACTCGTTTCTTTGGCTTGCTCTGTCAAAAAAAGAGGTCTAGGGCTCTTTTTATTATGCAGAGAAATTACTACAGTTTTGTAAATACTTTAGTTTTAATAACACAGTTCTTGGCGTTAGCCAAACAGGTAGTAGTAAATAAAACCATGGTATCTAAAAAAACTGTAGTATTCTTAAAATACTTAGAGAATACTTTGCAATCCTCATAGAAGTATTGGACAAACAATTTTCTTTAAATAAGTTGACAAAAAAATCATTGTTTTGATTTTGAAATACCCACTCAACTGATCGACTTAATTATAAATACTCATTCACGAATCACGATCATTTATTGCAGTGTACTGTACACATCCGGAAGTCTGATAAGATTGTTGTGAGAGTTGAATTACAAAAAAAATCACAAAAAAAAAGAATTACAAATTTTTATTTTCACCTGCCTAACAAATAGAAAATTTGACAAATATATATTATCTGCTTTTAAATTTTGTTTCTCTTTTACTTCTAGTCATGCCCATATAATTTGCCGTATTTTATTATGTGTAAGCTCACTCGGATGCCACAACATAAAATATTGTTGAAATAATAACTATATTAATTCCAATTTGAAATTTCATTTGTAATGGATTCTAAGTCTGTATAAGTGCTCAGTTGCATTCTGATCTTTCTCTTTTGCTACGATAACAGATGACCATAAAAAGTTTCCTGTTCTACTCGTTGCCATACCTTTAGCTTCCATTGTTATTATTCTACTGGTCGTCTTTGCGATTTGGTGGAGAAGGAAGCACACAATCATAGGTAAATTCTGCTCTAGTGGCTCAATTTTACTATTATTTTGCATGAAGCAGAAATAAGGAAATGCATGGTTAATTACATGCAATGTTGTAATGTATATAAGCTCTTGCCAGGTGCTATTCCTCAGAGCCATGCCATGGTTAATTACATGCAATGTTAGTCTAGCTATTATAAAGGATGTCACTGGAAATTTCTCAGAAAGCAATATGATCGGCCAGGGTGGATTTAGCATCGTTTACAAGGTTCGTCATTTTCTATCGAAGATATGTCTTTGGTTATGAGATGGTGTATGCTATGATGTGTGGGTGTGTCTGTTTTGTACTCTCCAAGAAACAGATGATTCTTTCGTTTGTTGTGGCATTTCCATATAGAAAAGTATCCGTTGACAAATTCATTTCTGACATCTAAAACTCCAAAATCATTAGGGGCAGCTGCCTGAAGGAAGAACAATTGCTGTCAAGAGGCTTAAGCAGTCGGTGCTCACCACAAAAGGCAAGAAAGATTTTGCAAGAGAAGTGGAGGTGATGGCTGGGCTCCGGCACGGTAGTCTTGTCCGTCTCCTTGCCTACTGCAACGAAGGCAAGGAGCGGATACTCATCTACGAATACATGCAGAACAAGAGCCTAAACGTCCACATTTTCGGTACTCGCTACTTGCTGGAACAAAAGTGTTTTCTCAAGTTGCTACTTTCTCATGTAGGAATACCAACAGGACCACCATATATATGGTGGGGAAGCTCCTCAAGTTTTCTCTCATATGTTTGTATCTAATGAATGCATATTTGACATTGACAGGCAATGTTAACCTTCGCGCCTCACTGAACTGGGCAAGGAGACTGGAATTAATCCAAGGGATTGCGCATGGCATTGCATACCTACACGGAGGATCCGGTGACAATGTTATCCATAGGGATCTCAAGCCAGGCAACATTCTGCTAGATGATGAATGGAAGCCTAAAATCGCAGACTTTGGAACTGCCAAGTTGTTCGCTGTGGATCAGATCGGGCCTGATCAAACAATTGTAGTTTCACCGTAAGTAAAAAAATGCAAGCATCCCCAATAGGATCTTTGTTTCTCCATTCAAATTGAGTGGAATCAACTCAATACATATATCCTGATATTATTGAGTTTCTTGAAGGGGGTATGCAGCACCGGAGTATGCGCGGCAAGGGAACATGACACTTAAGTGTGACGTCTATAGTTTCGGAGTTATTCTCTTGGAGACACTCAGTGGGCGAAGGAATGGTGGCATGCAAGGCCTCCTTTCGCATGTAAGTGCTACTATCTCACAAATGCATCTGCACCTTATAATTGGTCGATACACATAATTTCTTTTCTTCTTGAGATGAAGCATCAAGCATAAACATGTTATAAAAGATTATCTACATATAATCTTACGGTAGTTCGCGAATCTCCTATTGCAGGCCTGGGGATTGTGGGAGATGAACATGATCGCAGAACTTCTGGACACAACAATGGTGCCACTCTCCGAGTCTGAGCCTGAGCTCTTGTCCAAGCTGACACGATGCATCCAGATTGGGCTCCTCTGCGTCCAGGAAACTCCCTGTGACAGGCCGACCATGTCCTCCGTTGTTTCCATGTTGACGAGCATGACATCGCAAATCGATCGGCCAAGAAGAAGGCCACCATTGGATTGCGAAGGATTTGTGGCTTCAGATTCATCACATGGGCTCGAGACCGAACTCTTGATCCCAACTACGATTGATTTGACGTAGGACCGGGTCGGACCAGCTGTTGCCTCCTTGTTAGCAACCGATTTAACTAAAATTCTAGGTCTTTGTTCCATGGTCTTTCTGGGTACGCGCGGTACATAATAAGTTCTTAAGCTCTCTATAAAAATGTCGGTCTTTCCTTGTGGCTGATGTTACTATGTCATGAGTGGATGGACTCAGGCTGTAGGTGGAGGTGGGATCAAGTGGGACTAAATAGCCCATCCCACTTAGGGTAGCAAAGGAAAATACGTCTCGTACCCTTCTAGGGTTTCTCTCTCTCCGTGGCGGCGACCGAGGAGATCACGTTCCTCTACCTGATTTCGGATCGGACTCTCAGGCGATCCTGATCCCAGGTGAGGCATCTGGCAATACAGTAGGAGATCATCTAGGGGAGGAACCAAACCCTAGGGAGGCGAGGGGCGATGTCGAGGGTAAACTCATCTACCTCGAGAGTTGACGGCGGCAAAGACACGATGGCGGGGGGATTGGAAGTGGAAGCGGAGGTGGAGGCGGCGGAGGTAGCTGAAGGGAGTAGATCAGACCGGGAGGAATCACTAGATGAGAAGTTGAGGTGCCTGAATCTCAGGGAAGAAGAGGAAGAAGATGTGGTACTAGAGGAAGACTTGGAGGAGCTAGAGAAGGATGCAGAATTCATGGCGCTAGCCCGGGTGCACACATCAAGAAAATTCAGTCACGGGGCCTTCTATGGAACAATGAGATCAGCGTGGAATCTTGTGCAGGAAGTAGAATTCAGAGCCACGGAAGATAACTTGTTCTCTGTACAGATTGCTTGCTTGGCGGATTGGGAAAGAGTCATGCAGGACGGGCCTTGGATCTTCCGAAACTGCCTGGTGTTGCTTGCTCCATATGATGGATGGTCCAAACCAGGCGAAGTGGAGCTGAATACGTACCAGGTGTGGGTGAGGGTGATGGGACTGAAGGAGAAGATGAGGAGTGCGAATATTGCTCGTCAGTTGGCAATGAAGGCAGGTACTGTGGAAAGAGTTGATGAACGAACCATGAAGGGCCAGGGCGGGGGCATCAAAGTACGCATAACATTGGATGTACGCAAACACCTTACAAGATGTGCTAGTCTAACTCTGAGGATGAAGAAGGTGTATTTTCCGTTTGAGTATGAAAATATGTCGTGGTTTTGTGGAGTTTGTGGCTTTGTGGGTCATGTGGCAAAAGAACATGGTAATGGGGTGCATGAGGAGTCGGCCATTATCTATCCTATAACCTTGATTGCGCCTGAGTTCAGAAGGGAGGATCAGAGCTGGCAGGCTGGCTTAAATGGCAGAGGAGGGGGTAGTAGAATGGGAGGAGGTGGTAGGGGTGGTTTTGCGGCAGGCCCAGAACCTAGTGGAGGGAGGAAGGAGAAGGATGATTTGAGCAGCTCGGAGAGTAGCCCTTTGAAATATACGGATGATCACTCGCAAACTTCGAGTGCCCTCAAGAGAAGGCTCGAATTCACAGAGAAGGGGAAGGGGAACCAGCTGGCCCTGACACAGGGCAAAGGAGAAGATGGAATAATTTCTGGAAGAGGAACTGAGACGGAGGACGGGGGGAAGAGCAAGACAGTACATCACAAGATTCGAAACGGCGCAAAGCAGATGATAGTATGGACATGAACTTGGCAACATTGGCGGCCTCCCAGGAGGAGGACCGCCACGCCCAATGATTCTCCTAGGGTGGAACTGCCGCGGGACGCGTCAGTCCCGGGCAGGTAGAGCACTCCTGGATGTTCAGAAGTGCTACAAACCAGATGTGTTATTTCTATCGAAAACTCATCTGTCTGACGCAAGGGCCGAACGGTTGATGAGAAAGCTAGGGTGCCAGGAGAGGCTGGTTAACCCGAGTGGTGGTAGGGCGGGAGGCTTACTGATGATGTGGAGAAACGGAGTGTCTGTCACAAAACATGGGGTAACTGCAAACTTCATTGATGTAACAATAGATGACGGGAGAAAATGGAGGTGTACAGGCTTCTATGGTGAGCCGGCAAAAGAAAATAAACATAAATCATGGGAGTACTTGCGTGCACTGCACCAACTGAGAGATGAACCATGGATAGCATTTGGAGATTTTAATGAGATACTATTTATGCATGAGAAGGAAGGTGGAGCAGCTAGAGAGCAACGATCCATGCAAGCATTCAGAGACGCTCTTTCTGATTGTGAGCTGGAGGATATGGGAGCGATGGGGGACGTTTATACGTGGAGCAGAGGACCGATCAAGGAAAGGCTTGATCGAGCAATTTTTAACTCAAGATGGAGTCAACTTTTCCCTCATGCGGGGGTCATTAACGGGGAGATGACTAAATCTAACCATCGGTCGTTGGTGATTGATACTGACCAATATGCACAGGCCAACCGGTCTCCTAGCTCAATGAGTAGATTTGAGGGAAGATGGCTTAAGGAGGAAACAGTCGAGGAGGTGGTCCGAACGGCCTGGATGAAGGCGTCGCTGTTAGGCCTCGGTCCGTTCAAACAAAAAGTTGATTCAGTTCATGTGGAACTGCATAAATGGGACAAAGAGACACTAGTGCAGAACCGAGCAATAGCACCGGTTCGTAAGGCCCTTTAGTGCCGGTTCGGTAACCGGCACTAAAGTGTGGGCACTAAAGCCCCCCCCCCCCTTAGTACCGGTTCAGCACGAACCGGTGCTAAAGGGCAATCACGTGGCACGAGCCAGCTCCGTGGGCGCGTAGGACATTAGTACCGGTTGGTAACACCAACCGGTACTAACTGTTTGGGTGTGTTTTGGTTTTATTTTTTATTTTTACTTTAATTTTGTGTTTTCAATTTAATTTAGTGATTGTTTTACATTATAATGAGTTGTTAAATCATTAGGTGAATGTATCGCAAATTAGTTTGACTGGATGCATGTGGATCCTAGCTAAGTCATCAAGTATATGTCATATCCATATTATATATACTTAATCACCTAATTAAGTGATCAAGGTAATATGGATATGGCATATACTTGATCACTTAGCTAGAATCCATCCAGTTGAAACTAATCTGCGGTTTCTTTCATATAAATGATATAATAACTCATCATCATCATCATCATCATCATCATATTAATATAAAAACTCTTGCATCATATATATCATCACCAACACTAGCTTAAAGAAGAAACATTCACTTGTACCAGAAGCAAAGATATCATCGAGTTCAACATGGTAATGATATTATAAGCGTTCATAACACCACAAAAGAAAATCACTCTTTGAGATTAAGTTCAGGACGAAGAACACGGACATGAGAGGACAAGTACTAAGAGCATGAACTAGCTAATTAATCACTCATGCTGCTCTATCTCACGTAAAATAGCATAGAACATGTATAGCTTTCCTGATTCATCATATTGGAGCATGTAGATGAACTTGTCTCCTAATCGTGGGTTGCGCTTCTGATTGCTGCCC